CAACTTTTACACTTAGTACAACATCTTAAATTGCTGAAGAATTTAGATCTGCATAGTTAACATATTTTCATTTATGAGGTCCTAGTTTCAAGTGTTAGCCCAGAAGCAGGCAATTCTGACAGGTTTGTTGTGGTTTCCTTCAGTTCCTATAGGCATATGCCTGGACATGTTCATTTCTTTCCACATTATTTCCAGTTCACTATTCACTGATCATCCTATCAATTGACACTGTGTAATCTGAGCTATTGAAAGGGTCAGTAAATAAACCAAGAATAAATAAATTAGGAAAGACCATAATCACCATGTAGAGAAAATCTGCTGATCTCAGTGTTTATACGATGGGGTACCCAAAAGAAACCGAACTAATTTTTTTGTGGGCAGAGCGTTTGTAGTACCGCGTTTTGCCGCTATGAGCGCATAGAGCTAACATTCCTGAGTTGATAAGCCGACTACCGTTACTTCAGAAGGTAAGGACTAGTTTCGGCAGAGTTTATAGTGACAGCTGTTTTGTGTGATCGTCGTTTTTGCAGTTGCTGATTTTCGTGAACAGCGTGCAGCAGTGAAATTCTGCATTTTGCTCGGGAAAAGTGGAACAGAAACTCTTGAAATGTTAAAAACGGCGTACAAGGACGATGTTATGGGGAAAACTCAAGTGTTTGAGTGGTTTTCCCGTTTCAAAAATGGTGAAATGTCAATTGATGACAAACCTCGTTCTGGTCGTCCTTCCACGGCCCGAACACATGAAAATGTTGAAAAAATTCGTGAAATCATCAAGGAAGATCGACGACGGACTGTTGAAGAAATTGTGGAGCTGTCGGGAGTGACTTGGAGCTCAGCGTCCAGATTTGTGGCAGTCAGGCGACTGGTTTTTCCGTCATGACAATGCCCCTGCTCACACAGCCGTGTCTGTATGACAATTCTTGACCAAAAATGGTATGACCCCTGTTCCTCACCCTCCATACTCACCCGACCTTGCCCTGTGCGACTTTTTTTGTTTCCTCGAATGAAAAGACATGAAAGGAAAGCGTTTTGCTGATGTTGCTGAGGTGAAGGAAAAAACGACGGAGGCGCTGTCAAGCATCTCAAAAGATGAATTTAGACAATGTTTTGAAAAATGGAATAAAAGACTAGACAAGTGTATTAGTGTAAGTGGAGAGTACTTTGAAGGGGATTGAAGGTTTGTGCTTAAAAAAATAAATAAGTTAAAAAAAAATAAGTTCGGTTTCTTTTGGGTACCCCCTCGTACATGCCTAGTTTTGTCAGACTTGACATTATGTCAAGTAAATAGATTGGTTGTGCTTGAACATTTTGACTCTACATATTTTAATTGGATATTTTGTTTTTCAGAAATTTGATAGTGGATATTTTACTGTTTGAACATTTATAATTATTTATGGGTGATAATTTAAGTTTAACTTTGTGCTGTGTTCTAAAAGTAAGTGAAATATAGATTTGTTGGTTGTTTCTGCACTTTTCTCTAAGCACTGTATACCAGATTCTGTATTTTTTCATGCATGATGAAAGTATTAAGTGTAGTATGTACACTGTGTTGAAATGTAGTACTCGTTCATCATCACTGCTAAATTGTTACATCTCATGAGAGGCTCAGTGGCCGAAGAGTGGAAGCCCTTTTAATAATTCCATTAGTCTTTTGTCTTCCATAGATCCCTCTTATTGCTTCAGGTATATGTATACACGTTCATCTGCCCTAAGTTCATGTATGCCTTTCATTTTGCTTTGTGTACATTGTAACAACTGGCTGCTATTATAGATAACAACAATTCCAGATAAGATATATGTTTAAAAAGGGGGTTGTCATTGTTACTACAAACCAAATAGGTTGTTTTCTAAAGCACTGTATTTCTGTTAAATAGATATGTACACTATGTTTAGAGCGCAGGCTAATAGGACATTGATTTTACCATCGGCAGCTTCCTGTGAAAGTGCTGCACCACTTGCCGAGAAAAATGCTTCCGCGTAGCCGGTATGGCTGGCACACATAGTTTACTTATTTCATTAATTATTAATCAGATATATTAATTAATATTATACTCACCGTCATAGAAGATGCTCAAAGTGTCTGCCCTCTGCTGCGAGACATGTCTGAATTCTTTTAAACAGATTTCGGGAAAGTTGTTGCAATTGATGTTGCTGAATGTTGTAAATTGCTTCATGAATATTCCATTTTAGAGTCTCCAGGTAATGTGGATTGATGGTATACACAACACTTTTGAGTTTTCCCCACAAATAAAAATCAGGTGTTTAGATCTGGGGATCTAGGGGGCTGCAAATCCTTGCTAATAATTCTATAATCCCCATTTAGTTTGCCAAATTCACTGCGTAATGCTCAGATAGTTTCCTTAGCTGTGTGTGGAGTTGCACAGTCTTGCATAAAACAACCAAATCTCTCTTCTGCAGGTGCCAAATTAACGAAAAATGGATTGAGTATTTCATTAATGTATTGTTGAGCATCAAGAATTCATAAAATGTTGGTCCAATTATATGGTTTGCACTAATCGCACACCATACGCCTACCTTTTGGCCATAGAGGGGAATTTGAATTAGGGCATGAGGATTTTCACTACTCCAGTGCCTGTTGTTTTGTGAGTTAACATATCCTGAGATATTAAAATCAGCCTCATCTGTGAAAAATGTCAGCATAGGATCAAGAAATCTGTCATGCACGATTGATAAACCAATTATAAAACCTTGCTCTTTTTTCATAATCCATAGGTTTAATTTCAGGAACAACAGTAATTTTATATGGATGAATATGCAGCAGTTTAGTTGCTTTCCATGCACTGCCTACAGAAACACCACTTTGCTGTGCTAATCACCACAAAGATTTTCGAGGAGATTTTTCTAATCGGTGACCGATGTCATCAAGTTTTTCTTTGTTGAAACAGAATTTCTTTTTAATGGCTTTCTGTCAGTTAAAATGCCATGGGTTCAAACATTCTTCTTCAGTAATCTGGAAATTTTATCTCCAGATGGACATGTCAGGAAATTTACGGCAAAATTTTCTCCTTCATGATTTGTATGAGTTTTTTTTTTACACAGCAATCATAAATGAA